TAAACCAACTTATTTTGAGAACATATATTCTAACAGCCTAATTCTCCACGATTTATCTGTTATGCTGCAAGTTTTAAGAAACCTAAGGCTGATCTAGACAAGTCAAATGATAACCTCATTCTGAAGTCATTTTGCAGTTTAATCTCGAAACACAAAAGATCAAGGTAAGAACAAATAATGGAAGAAGATTATCCTCCTACACCTGTACAAGAATTGTTAAATTTGGTTGTTGTTGGTTGGGTTTTTTTTAATAGCCAATACTACCTCTTCCTGAAGCAGGATAATGAAGTTTGGTTCAGCACCAACCCAAAATGGCAATATGAAAATTCTTACTATATGCTAAGAGTTTCTGGTTTTAAACTTATAAATCACCTCAGCAAAAGCTCACAGGTACTCAGTATCTTAATCCTCACTCTATCTCTATTGATACATAAATAAAAGAAAACAATTTAAACATCCTGTATAAAAGAAACTTAAATTTGGCATAATCAAAGAGACTATAGGTAAATTTATTTTCTCTCACCTTCTTTGACTCACAGAAAACAAGAGCTGGTTTATTTTTCTGTAAGTCTGAAAGTTGGCACAGTATAATGCCATCTACAAATGTGTGATGCATTTTGAGTATTACTGTCTAACCAAGCCAGCAATTCAGAAAAAAATGGGAGCGAAATCCCATAAAGCAGGTGAATGGTATGGTGCCCTAACTAGGAAAGGCAAGTTTCTACACTACCTCCGAAAGTAGAAGCATACAATAGGATTAGCCTTATCTTATCTAAGTTTCTTAACAGCAAGACTGCATCCTCCTGACAGCATACTGTTTCCAGCAGGACTCAAATTCCAAATAAGAGCAATTCTTAAAATAAAGTAGCTATGTCTGGCAGAGCTGGAACCATGAGGACAACATGAACACTCAAACCAGTTTATTCAGGTTTGACTCAAGAGGAAAAACTACATTTTAGGCTAGACAAAAATAAGACCCAACATACCTAAAGAAGCTTCCAGACTACCATTTTTAGGTCATGCCCTGTACTTTTTCCTGCTTTTCAATTCATGTGTAGGAAGGTCAGATCATAAAGTGGATTCCACTGTGGCATTTAAAATCAGATTATTCTCTACACAATAATTAGCATCATTCTTCTCATCACTTGCACACTGTTTTGCTAGTCTAAGAATGTTGTGTTTATTTCTGAGAAGCTTTTTTTAATCCCTTCAAAGTACCAGCATCCTAAGCGCAGCTATCTCATGCTCCATGAACTTTAGTGCAAATGCTGTAAGCGTTTCTTTTCTTCTTAACAACTTCATTACAGTGTTTACACAGGAATACAGTGCTTGTACTGTAACCATGCAAAGAAAATATTCTGCAGTAAATGTAAGCTTTATTCAAAGTGTAGCTTTAGAAGTCTTTATGGCATACTCCAGCCTGGACTGCCAGTGCTAGTGCAGGGAAAACAGTAAAAGGACAACTATAATGACAGACCTTTCATGCTAACAAGAGCTTTGGAACGATCAAACAGAAAACCTATGGGCCAAACGTATTTCCAAAACGTGTCTGCTCCTCTTTGCTAATCCATAAATACCCCTGTAAAAAGGACCTCAACTCCTCTACACTTCTTCTCAAGCTGTTTATTCACTATGAGATTGTTAAGTATATGAGAGAAAAATGGCTGGAGGATAAATAAACCTGGATCACAGTTGCATGAGAAATGAAAGTAGATTTTTTCTTCTTAAAAAGAAGATTCAATGTCCTCTTGGCAAACTAGCAACCAAGTTGTGATTTTCCGTCTGGTAGAACTAAATATGACCAAGACACAGACCACCAGTGACAGACTTCCCAAAGAAATACAGCATTCGGGGAGAAAAGCAGTGTCAGGGATCCCTAAGGGCCATTCCAGAAAAGACTTTCTGCCAGAAGGAAAGCTCTTAAGCAAGACTGAAATCCCATTAAGGAAAAAAATAAGGAGAGAAACACCAACAGCCTCTTATAGCAGAGAGTTTAAATAATGTCAAAGCTATTAGTGGAGGCAGTGAGCAATCAGAAAGAAAACAAAGGCAAAATAACTGGTGTACTATGAAAATCTGCACTGTTGGCTTCCCTTATGAAAATACCTCATGGTTCTCCTCTAAAAACCTTTTTGACTCACACAAAACTCTTGCATTTTACCTGTTCTAGCAGGAGAGAAATCAAACAACATTTAATATTCAGGGATTACTCTGTACAAAGTTGAAAATTATTATGCTAGCCCTTAATGCTCACACTGAATGAGGGTCTGCTTTTTGGTGTTGTCCTTTCTTTTGTTTGTTTTTAAGGGGGGAAAAAAGACTACACCGAAAGGCACACATGGCCATGTACATAGATTTGCTTTTGCTGATATCACTACCACAGACCTAAGTACTATAATTCAGGAAATGTAGAAAATCACTGAATGATCTAATGAAAAAAAAAAAGATAAGCCCACTGAACCTGCTATTTTGAAATCCAATCTAATATTAATGGCAATAAAGCAAAGAATAAATTCCAACGCCACAATCTCAGGGATATAGTGATGCCTGAATAAATCAAAATCACCAGTTTTGGTTTGTGGTACAGAAGTTTACATTTGAATGCAGCTGGACTGCAGTCAGCTAGCCAGCTCTCACAGCAGTCCCTCCAAGCTGTATTGATTTCTAGGGAAGAAAAGGCACTGTAAATCTGCCTGAGCAGCATTGCGTCATACTTTTGGTTGGCTTGAAAAAAGCAAATTAAATGTTTTCCATTAGCATGGTAAAGAAGCTATACAATTTTGTTTTTATTTCAAATAGTGTCTCAAGTTACAGAACACTTTAGCTAACTCTGTGGCAGGGACTACATGCTCTGTGTTTGTGAAGCCAGCAATTCATGCTTATGTGAAACCAGATGTGTGCACTGCACAGTTCCCAGGGCTGGGAAGGACTTTTTAAAACGTGTTGCTGTCGATTAAAAAGGACTCTGCTTTTCACTTAGATCATGGAATATAATGAAGCAGAAACAAAATGTTCTTGCAGGGAAGGGGAAGGAGGGGAAGAGCAAAGGGTCGGAAGCAGAAGAAAACTTTAAGGCCATAAAAACCACACACACAGAACAGCATAGGAGCAATGCTGTAGTACAACAAAGAGCAGCACAGATCTAAAAAGCAATAAGCATAACATGATTTGAGGTAACAAGAACTCCTTGATCAATTATTCATATAATTTACAACACTTACAGCTGCATCAATGAGAAAAAAAAAAAAAAAAGGAATCTAGGGCAAATATAAAATCTTCACAGCTATGAAGTGTCCTTGATTTTCACCAGAACATTTGGCCGTCTCGTATCATGTGTTTCTAGTTAGCAACAACCCCCTCCAACAAAGGGAAACAAGAGACAGAGAGGCACAGAACAAACTGCCTTGCTGGAAGCAGTGAGAGTGTTCAAAGCTGCATTTCACTCATGGATGCTGTGCGTCACCAAAACCTAACAACACTGACACAGCTGTGTTTGAAACCTAACCATCATCCCACCTAGATACATCCATGCACCCCAAGGGATTATGAGGATACCTTCTGTGAAGTCTTTACTCTCTCAATGCATAAAACTGCACTGCTCAAATAAATAAATGTTTAAATAACTCCCAGAAGAAATGCTGTGTCTTTGTAATGTATGGTTATCTCAACTTGTATTGCTTTGTGTACTCCTAAGGCAAATGTAACAAAGGGAAGCATTACAGAGATAAGTATTTCTGGATGGGGTTTTTGCCTTCAGTTTGAAATCACTTTGTAACCATCAGCAGCAGCTTTTCTGCTCTGTCAAGGTTTGAATACAGTGTCCTCAGTTGTTCAAGATGACCTTGCCAGTGGACTGGAGAAACACAGGTGCAGTTGAAATCCAAGAAATGTGAAGCAAAGTGAGATGACATGGTGCAGCAGAGGGATGAGGGGGCCTAACTGTGCTTACTGCACTCACCCCTAGACGTGAGCAGATCATGAGGGAAGGTTTTGAGCTGAAGCACTGACTGTGCTAATGGGAGAACTTAACATCGATTTTGATTTTACTCCATGGATGGATGGGCAATGAACTTAGGTCTAGCTCAGAGCCTTAATTTCAGTTTAAATTAAGATCAATAAAGGATTAACTAGAAAAATCTGCAGTTCTTCTCGGGTGAATCAAGAAATATTCATTTAAGAAGTTTTACAACAAAAAAATTAACACTTTGCAACAGGTAGCTTTTAAAAACAAAGAAGCTAATAGAACTTTGGAAGCACCTATATTCAATCCTAAATAAATCTGTAGGAAATATTTCTGCTACTACTTGCTTTTTTCAGCCAACTCTCTACACTTAGTTCAATTAATCTTGTCAGTATGAAGGAAAGATCCTGCATATATCATCACTACGTTCAAAACACTGGCAAACAAAACCATAGCATAGTCAAATCTCCCTAACTGTGTGCAGCTGTAACACGGATAAGTTCAACAAAGTTCTTGTGGTCACTGTCTTTTTCTTCCATCAGTATGTGTCCTCAAGCAAGAATGGGTTCTAGATGCTAAGAAATTACCACAACGCTGATAAAGAGAAAATCATCATTTACAAACCTCATTCTTTTCCCATTGCTGAACATACCAGGGAGTGTTTCCATATTTTTGCATCCACTCAAAGCGAGCTCTGAATGTGGTACTTGAAGTGGGATATGTTTCTAAAAACAGACAATGCTGTAAAGATCAGAAACAGCCTGTTCCCTGGCCAACAATGAACTGTAGATATATCTTTCTACTAATAATCTAAGGAATCACTTCTGGCTATAACCTACAATGCATATTATGTTATTTTCCTCTCCCCGCCCCCAGCATTTGCTATTACAACATTTGTATCAGATAGCAAGGAGCTATACCCACAAAAGAAGGAGAAAGCTCAGAGATGCACTTGAGCATTTATTTCGCAAAAAGAAAAATCCTTATTTTGAAAATTGTGTCAGACAATTCAATTTGCTTGAAAAATGAATCATTTTACCTTGGTGTAAGACTTTGAACTCCTGCCAAGGCTGTCTGGCCCGTTAGGAGGTCTTCACCTTTAGCAGAGGTCTCCAGATGAAGTCAGATCTCTTCACCCTGGAACTCCCAGAGGTTCCCTGCAGCAATGCCTAGAGACACAGCAACAGAGAAGGCATTTAGCTTCATCATCAAAGCCACAGTTTTAGAATGGATAAGAAAACAGTGTCCTTAAAGGCTGCATCTTGGTTTAAAAAATGTAAATTTCCAAAATTAGAACACTACGTCTTCTTTTGGAGACTTAAAGGCTGCAAAGAGGTGTTTATTTAGCAATACTGGGACAAGCATTCAGTCAGCTATAAATGGTCTCTAGCCTTTGTATTGCTAGTCCCAACAGCATAATCTCCAAGCTCTGAAATTTAACAGGTGACCTACAGGTACCAATTTTGAATTTCTTTCATGTCATTATTTTCTCCCACATTGAAACTGCTCAGAGATATGCATTGGAAATGCTTCAGGGCAAAGAGCACAAGTGTGACACATCATCTTCTCAGGGGACTCACACAGTGCAGTGCCCCTGCAGGCAAGAAACGCCGCCTGCAAACCACCTAGCCTCCCTGCACATGACCTCCACCCAGCTGACAAAGCAGTCCTTGTTAAGAGTCCACTCCAGAACACTGTCCTATGCCCAGAAAAATTAAAAATAAAAATCCTTAAATTCCACCATCAAAAGGGAAGGATAACGAGATTGTATTCCTGAAATGAATGCATTGCACCATTGCTTTTTACATGCAAAACAACCATACAGAATTTAGTAGTTTACAAGCTGTGACCTAAATCCTTGTTTATGTTCTTTTTCTCAAAATGCCACCTGAGGTAAGACCAGCTCTAATCACACAGAAAAGTACTTGGGTACATGAGATTTCTGTGGTTTGGTTTTATTTGACAGTATGTGGTCAAGCACCCTTACAGGCACAAGCAGATGGCACAGCAGCTTCCTTTAAGCAAACAATTCTGAGTGGTTTCAAATTACTTTAATTTTCTAATCAGCTATTCACTCTAGAAACAGGACTGCAGTCAGGTTACAGACCATGTGATGAAGCACAGGGTTCTTTTAACAAAAGTCTCAAAAATATATGCAGAAACAGCTTAAGCGCAAGTTCAAGAAAGCCATTTTTTGTCTCATAATGTTAACAAACTGAGCAGGCAGCAATATTCGTCAGATACCAATTACCTTGGGCTTCTTCACTCACAGTCTTTGGGGACCCTGACTGAGTTTGGGTCTTGACATCAGTACACTGAGGATAAGAGTTTGTGTTGGGTGGGTGGATAAAGTCTCATTTTGGGAGGCTGCCTTTGAAACAGTGGTACAACAGAAACAAGTAACAAGGGGGATTTCAGATTCGTATCTGCATGTAAATACTTAAAATTAGAAAAAAATAACAAGAGAAAGATGAAGGCATAAGCATATTCAGAGAGAGGTAGCTGTTTTGAGCCTGCTGTAGTACTGTTATTCTGGTATTTGATAAAAGAAAAAAAAATAAAAACATAGCAAGAAAAAAAATGTTTTTCAACCTTGCCATGCTTAGTACAACAAAGCACAACAACAGATTAACAGTCAGAGTTACACTCTTGTATTATTACACATTATTCTGATATCCAAATTACTGTATTTTAAGCAGCAATTCTGAAGGATGCTCATTTCAGTCTAAAAGCCAAAGCAACTGTGTAAGCAAAAGGATCCCTGTAAGTTCATATTTGACAAATCAAAGGGAAAAAAGTGAACATGGTCACTAGCTGCAGACAGTAAATCTGTTCTAGCCATATTGCTTGGTCAACAGCCTGAGCAAGTTCAAGTACAAACAGTTTTATTTCCAAGCTGAGTGACAAATTTTAACACCTGTCAAGTGGTCAGGATAGAAGCCATCCCCAAAATCCCTAGAAGACTGCTAGATGTACTGCTTAAAAACAAAAACTTGTGATAAAATACTGTAGGGGAAAAAAAGGTTCCCTACAGTATTTTGTACAGGGAAATACTCAGCTTCACAGATTCCTTCCCTTCTGCCTATTGATATTAGAGTCCCTTTCTTTTTGCTTCTCCAATAAATTGCTGGTTTAGAATCTGCCAAAAATATGGTCCCAAATTTATATTTGGTATTAGTAGTGTTACCAGTCTCATATGGGAAATAAATATCACTGAGTTGAATATATTCATGTTTAAAGATTGAAGTATGGCTTTGTGTGTATGCATCTGCACAAATATATTTAAATTAAATAGCTGCACAGTTATCAGTCAGCTTCTCTAAAGTGCTCAGAACTCCACTTAAAAAATATTTTTATGAACCTGTTTTGTATTTATAGACTACATCCTGAGTTTCAGCCTTTATCCAACAAGCTGGAGCCTTTTATGACACGTGTAGTTTCCTGCTTTGGTATCCAGTATCAACAAGTCTTTGGGCTTTTTTTTTCTGAAAGGACTTTTCATCCTCAATTGCTATGTTCTTCCTCTTTTGCTAAGTATAAAATCAAAGTTTTAATACTTACAAAAATACACATCTCATGGAAGAGAAGCCAAACGAAATGTAGAAGGATTCATGAATGAATGGCCTTCTTATTCTAATAACCCCAAGGGTATCAATCTAAACCTTCAAACCTCACTCAAGTCTACCATGAGGTTTCCATAATCCAAACTAAAGTCTTTAAAAACTTAGGATTTCTTTACAAAGAAATAAGCTGATAGGGAAGCTCAGCAGCATATGATTAAGCATTTGATAACTTGATGCTTTGACAAGGCGTTACCTTAATCTCTGTCACGGAGGAGAAGCATAAATCAGGAAACTGAAATTAGGCAGCTGGAGGAATCTAGCTACTCAAACAAGTAAGGTATACTTTCTGTGTCAAAAAAGAATATTAGTGCTCTCTGCAGCCAAACCTCTACGAGAGAATAAAATCATTTAACAAAGCAGAAGAGGTAGAGAAGACCTCAGCTTTATATGTAACTAGAAACAAGAGAATACCTAGCAAGGTGTATTGTGAAAAACTATTCAACCTTTTAAATGCAGACCCTACATTTTCACAGGCAGCAGGTACAGACTCACTACTCTCACATCTCTATAATTTTCAGGTAAAAAACTCGCATCAAACATAAATTGAAAGGTATAGTCAATTTAGAGAGCACAATTTTCAGAAACATTAGTGGAGTTTTGTTAGAAAGGGTCCATATCCACTAACTGACAGTTTCTACTCCTGCAGACAGACTTACTTTCATTTACATCAACAGTAAAACTAAATTGTAATCTCTTCCCATATTCAGCATTAAGCCCCTGAAAGACTGAGGAATCAAATTAATGATATACAGAAAAATCCCAAGTCAGGAACTTCCCACAGTTAATATATTCAGACTTAACACAGTGCTACTTCAATTATTACTCTATATTACTTTTGTTGGCTAGTAGAAAGTATCTTCAGTACTGAAGGTTTTACTTCTGAGGTGGAATAACACTCATGTTTTCTGACTTGATACCCAGTTGTTAGAAGCATTCATCCCAATTCAGATCAAGACTACTATATTTCATTGCAAAGTAAGACACCTAGAAGGTACCAAGAGGAGCCTTACTCCCTGCAAAGTTTGATGAAAACACTGATAATTTCCCCAAGTAAGAGTTACATTCCGTGGACAACTGGAACAAAGATGTAGCAACATCTTTAAAAGTTTCATGGTTTCACTACCACCATTCTTGCAGCTCTAAGTATCTCACTAGGAGACTCTGGATCAGCACAGCTGTCTAGCCACTATAAACTATCAGGGAAAGTTACAGCACACTTGCAGAAGCATAAAAGTGCACTAATTCCCTAAAAATTAATTATACTGAAAAAAAGCTTCAATTAGAAGCAGATCACCAAGTCCAACACACACTGATATTTCTGTTTGCTGGTGTGTACCCGTGCATGTCTGAGAAACATCTACAAGAAGAGACAAAAAGCAGATCTTCATTTTTCCTTTATTAGTTTTCTGCCCACATTCTCAGCTACTCTCTTTTCTACTCTCCAACACCAAGGGTTTCATTTGCAGTTTGTATGAGCTATTAAAATCTAATAGGAACCAAAAGAAGGAACACAGAAAACCAGGTTTTCTGGCCAGCCTACTACCTGGTTTTACAGGATAGGATTTGTTTTTCTAAAGTTAAAAAATAAATGGAAGTATGTATAGCCATCATGACAGGGTAATTAGAGTGCTTAACCATCAGTGGGCAGCCTGGTAAAACAGGGCTCCAAAGAAGAGCAAAAAGAGATGGTGTGTTTTTTGAGGAAGAAATTGTTTTAGAGGGGAATGAAGGACAGGGAAATTACAGTACTTGAACAAAGCAGCAGCATGGATGGACCTGATGGGTTTCCATGCTGTCACTTTCTTTGTACACCTGAGGAACAACAGTCAGACACCAAACAAACTAATGACAAGAAAGCAATCAGAATCAGATCTGCTAAGACAGGTGGCTATCAAGAGGATAAACAAGTTTCTTATAGAAACCATTCCTTCAAGAAACTCCCCAGAAAAGAAGATTATGATGGAAAGTACTCCCCAGCTGAAAGCACAAACAGTTCAAAGGGTGCCAACTAAAAACTGCAACTGGGAATTTATGAACTGTGTTTATATGGTAATGTACCACTTCCTACCCTCTTCAGTCTCTGAGAATATAGACCTCTTGCCAAGGGACTTGAAAGAAGAAAGCCTGTAAACTCGTGAACGTTCCTGGGTTTGGCGACAACAGCCAACAAGAGTTCAAAGAAAGGCTGCAAAATGAGGAAAATGAGGCACACGATGAAAAAGAGGAAAGGAAAATGAGGCACATGATGAATAGCAAGTATAATGATTCAAGAGTGGGGTGGTGTGAGAAGCAGAAAAGGCCTTGACACTGTGCAAGTCTTGCTCAGGAATAAGAAAAACATTCTCTGCATTATCAACACTGATTTCAGCACAAATCCAAAATATGTCTCCAGGCTAGCTACTATGAAGAAAATTTACTCTATCCGAGCCAAAACCAGCACAAAGTGACACCAGAAGATAGGCTTAAGAAGGGGCCTGGTACCATGATTAATTTTAAGTAAATAAGACCAGGAAATTTATTCAAAACAATGGTGTTTCTTAAGTTTTCACTGTGAAAGGGAATAGGAAAATGCCACAGTGCCTTTTTTACTGCAAATGTTACAGAGAACCATAAAACAAGGAATAGAAGCTGAAATTAAGACATAATAAGAGACCTTTTATAAGAGCTTTTCGTGAATTCTCTATCATTCCAAAAAAAAAAAAAAAAAAGTCAATACAGCTTCTAAAAAGGATATCATTAAAGTAGCTAACTTTCAAATTTTCAAAAAAATAATATACTCTCTGAGACCTTACTGATGATCCAGGGAAGGTGTCAGTATACTCAAAGTTGTTTCCCCAATATAATGATTTCTGAATGACAGCCTGGGTATAACCCCAGAAGTGAGCCAAAATCTGAACTGTCCTGATTTTCAGTTTCCCATTTAGCTTTATTCAATTTTCATAGTCCCCAGGAAAGCATAACCACTTTGTTGTTCATAAGATGCAAGCTAAGTAATTGGTTTGACTTTGGAACAAACATTAGAAGCAACCATATGCTATCACCATCTTTGTCTGCTATTTGGAAAAAATCTGAAGACAAGACATTGATGCAAATATACATGGGAGCAATTAATTATTTGCAGCTCAAAGGGGAAACATGTATGTTACACTGCCTGCCTGCATTCTCACAACAAACTCTCGAAAAATCAGCACCACTTAATGGGCAGAATTGGAAATCTACTAAGCAGAACAAAAGCATGGAAATATAAGCAAAACTGTGCATGAGAGACTTTGGATCTAACAAAGGTGACACCTCTCTCTAGCTTTTAATAGTGATGCCATTATCATCTTAAGAATGATAGTCTGGAATACACAGACACTTTCAAAAGTCTGCAACATCAAAGTAACACAAATGTTCCTTAATGACTTCAGATTTGGACTCATGATTGGTTTTGTTGCAAATCCAGCCATAGTAGGAGAAGTAGGATTTTTATATAAGCTATAAAACAAATTTGCTGTAGCCTCTGATCTTTCCACCATCTTGGCAGATCTGCATAAGATAAGCTGTGCAAGAGACATGAGAAATCTAATCCTTCCTGGCAGTGAACCCCCACATGAGATGTGTTCCTTCTCCCTTGAGTGTGACCAAGGGACAATGAGTAACATTCAAAGCAATAAAAATGACACCCAATTCCATTAAATAATCAGATCAAGGTAGCTCTCATGTTTTTAGCTCACAGTTAGATGCTGAAGCAAAACCTGCCCAAGTAATTTTGCCAGGGAATGATGCCAGGGAACTGCAAGAGTGGTTCTCCAAAGTACCTGAATGACTAGAGGCAGTACGACACTTTCATCAGATCTACAGGAAATCAGGAAGTAAGAAAGTGCCAAATGGCTACAGAACACCAAGCCATGCACACGTTTCAGGAGGAGTTTCAGGTCACCTTTGTTTGCTCACTGGCCAACATAAGAACTGAATTTAAAATATAAGCTTCAGACTAGAACAAACACAATTATTAATAATGAGATAGCTGCAAATCAGAGCAGAGAAAACCTCACCAGCCCACTCCCTAGGCACCCAAAAATATCCCACAAAGAAAAACACCCAAACAAAACACTTCAAAAGTGTTAGGCCCAAAAAAAATAGGCACTTCATAAGAAGTAAGATACAACTAGCAGGAGAAATCAGCTAAGGTAAACAGTCATTGATTTATCAATTCATTACACATGACTGAAACACAGATGGACATTACAGCCTGTAAAGATGAATCCTCCTCTGGCATGAAAGACTCTCCAGCCCAAATTCTTCATTCAAGTTTCCAAGTTTTCATCAGCAAGTTATTAAAACCCCAAAGTAGTAAGAATTCACTTAAATCTTTATTTTATCTCTGTTAGACGACATCCACTTGCTTACCCTGCTTCATACTTAGACTGTCAGTTCTCTCTTCACAACTCAGTATAACCGGGAAGAATAACTTAGTTCCTAATTATTCAACTGTAATTGTTTCTCATAGGATGTTTTACAGCTGGAGGAGGAAAAGATACAAACAGGTGACCTCAGTTTTGACTTTAAATCAATCAACAAATGAAATGTTAGTAATAAGGGACATGAAACAGACACATTAGCCATAATAGGAAATACTAAATCTACAGCTGGGCTTCAAAACAAAACCCTACAGTCAACTTTGCTGGGAATAAGAAGATATACAAAGCTTTGACTTGGGGTCAGGCCACAGGGTCAAATATTCAAAGAGGATATAAATCAGACTTTATTTCTAAAACTTACTTGCCAAAGGACAAGACACTGAATATGGAAATATTTATGAAAACATATCAACACTGGGAAAAAGGCAAGTACAAGGGCGTGCAGATGTGCTGCATGCTTTAGCAGTCAGATCTAATCCCTGTCCCCAGCGAAGCTTGGGGACCTGGCTCTCACATCCAGGTTTTAAAGCAGGGGAGCTCCCCAGGACAGTATATATAACTGGGAAGTACCCCAGGAGCCACACTACTGACCAAGCTGGAGATTCAGGAAGGCTCAAGTCAAGACGCCTCAGAGAAGATGCACCAAAAACTTCTCCTAGAAACTACATTAAACCATTACTGTTGTTTATTAAATACACCTAATACTGGACCACAACAAAGTACAAGGAGTTT